CCCCAAACAGCATTATTGAAAGTGAAAGTGTTTTTTTTCGAGACATTATTTATATATTCAATGAGTGAGTTTGCGATTATGGAAAACACATAATCGGTTTCTCTTACATGCTAGGTGTTATCTTGCTCTTGTCTATAATGGACGATATTCCATTATATCATATTGTTATATAAATCCTTCTCTCAGTGATAACAATATACATATAATTAGTTTTTCTGCTTTGTGTTTTCTCCCTGAATATAAAAATAAATGGTTTCATTGTTAGCATCGTTTGTTTTCCACAACTTTATAGTAAATATATGTAGGATAATTGATACAATATACTGCACAGGGTGTAGAAAATAAAACCCTCAGACGAGTACTCTTCTGTGATATAAAGTCCTATCTGATGGTAGAGGCCGCTGTAAATGTGACAGGTGAACCTTATATGCACGAACTACATAAATGAACAACTTATGAACATTCATGATCTAACACGAAACATAATATGGCCCATAAGACAATGAGCGACATCGTGTTTCAGGTCGTGTTTCTTCGTAGCTCTCTGTGACTTGAGGGTCCGCTTTCAAGGCGCGTGATCAATATCAGAGGAGGTCGACTTAGGAAATGTGTCAGACTCGATCGGATACATGAAATTTAGTGTATATAAAGTCCTGCAAATGTGCAGTAAAGTAAAGAGAATTACTTTTAAAGTGTCTTTAAACCTCGTACAAGTCTATAAAACAATTACGTTCTTAAAATGGTTAAAACACTATTATATTATAAAAATTATTGTTATGCAAATTGGCACACGCCCAAGTAGTAAATTTCAAATTAAATAACTCGTACATTATTCATCTACAAAACAGCGCAATGCGTTGTTGACAGTGTGTTGTTCTGTTGCAGTAATGTTAGCCACGTCACTGAGAGTTTTTTTTTCTGAGAACAAAATATGATCAAGACGATGTTTTGATGAGAAAAACACCAATACCTATCATATGTTGATATTTAAATACAAAGAAAACTCAAGAGCCTAAAATTTCCAAAACCTAGAAAATGCCTATTTTAAAACATAAACAATCATTTATACCGGCTTTTTTAATATGTTTAAATCTAGAACCTCGAAATGTTTACTACATGTCGCCCACTATACTAGAGTAATATTCGGATTGATATATTCGAAAAACCTATTGCCATGAACCCTTATGTCTATACATCTATTTCTGATTGGGTTTATTGCTACAGTGCAGTGTTGTTTAGTAATTTTATATTTCGGTTGAGTTATTAGTTGTGTGTAAATCAATTATTATGATTCGGCATTTGAATATTGTTATCGCTTGTTTTCAGCACTTTCAATCAACAAGTGGTTATATTTCATTAATATGTATGTCTTCAGATATATATATTGTTTTTTCTCAGAGATTACTTAATCTAGATATATTTTTCCCGAATATGAAAAAGAGTGGTTTCATTCCAAGCATTTTTAATTCTCCATAGCATTACAGCACTACTCTGTAATTATGTGTATTACGAGAGTTATTGATGACTTGGACAGATTCATTTCTATAAATCCCACGTTAGATGAATCATTCTGGAAGAGAAAGTCCGATTCGAGATATAATACAAATGCCACATTGTGAGACAATATACAGTGGAAACTATTTTTGTATGAGTCAGAAGATATCATTTGACTTAAGGTAGCGAGACTATTATTTGTGTTGAAAATTACGATTGATGAAATGCACTATAAAATTTCATAAGATAAAGTCAACATAACATAGAATGTCATGTAAGTTGGTTAAAATGTTGATTTTCTGAAGGGAAGCAAGGCAGCCTCAGTAGTGTTTTCCAAAATCTACAACACAGGTTTAATGCATGTGCCTATAAGTTTCAAAGATTACCTCAAGACAAAGCAATGTTAGAACGTGTTATCAGGAGCTTTCTCGCAGACAAACCCTTGTCAATGAGTGGTTTGTCTTCGCTTCTGTTTGTCATTTGCATATGAATGTGTGAGACACAAGGTCACACAGCCTCTGCAAAAAAATCATTGATTTTAGTGTTCTCATCTGCCGATTTTATCGAATTATAGCTATCCTATTCTATTTTTTGGTTTCCTATAGCCTTACACATTTGGTTGCCCATACACATGTTAAAACAGACCTTGAAGGGAAAACAACTCGATTGTGCCGATAAACAAGCTTGAACATCTTTGCTGTGACTTCATGGACGTTTTTACGGAGTTTATTTTTTCCAAAAAAGTTTTTGTCTTTAACAAAAAATAAAGTAAAGTTATTGTTGTCGGATTAACACCAAATTTTCACAGCTTTAAGGTGACAATGAGAGGAACTTGAATAAGTTCTAACAAACTATTACGTGGATTATTTACCAACGTATTGTGGTTTGAGTTGGGGCAATGTGACTAAAACGGAATTAAATTCAGCACATTACTTATTAAAACGTATTGGTTGAATAAAACTGACAAGACACATTCAATTTACCAGACTATTGAACAACTAGGAAATATGAAAAGGAAACTTCTTATCACTGGCATAAATGCGTAATTATTTTTTTTTTACAGAAAAAGTATTTTTTGATTGAGTAACGTCGTAGCTTATAAAGCTTGAAGTCTGGCGATTCCAAAATTATATACATTCCTGGATCTTTTTGTAGTCATTTTTTAGTCACAATGAAAACAAGTATGCAAATAATAGTCTCTTAACCTTTAAACCCACTGCCCAAACATTTATAGATATATTATATTTTTGGATTTTTTTTTTCAAATTTGTAGAGGCATATAGTAAGTCCTTTCTCGAAATTTGAAATAGGAAAAGAGGCCAAATACACTAAGCTTAACAAGTCTTGGAACGTTTAAAACGGAATGCAAGTGTGGTTGAACAAGAAAACAGCAAATTAAACATAAATAAGTCAGATATAGATGCGTTAAAGCTTACATTTTTTTCTTTGTTTATATGAAATCAAACCAGGGTTAAAAATACCCTGACAATCGCAATTCGCAATTTGCAAATTAAAAATGGCCACCAGTCCCAGCAATTTATGTTGAGCTTATCATTAATTCAGGAAATTAATAAATTGGGTATTATAACAAAATTAAATGAATGACGGGGAAATTATTATCTACATAAATCGTCATAGTAAATTGTCTAAGGTCAGCGAAGGTGGCAGACTAATCAATCCCGTGAATCATTGCGATACATTACTGTGTCGTAATGTGTCGACCGCTGATAAAATGTGACTGTGGATAGTGCCAATACCGTAATATGCCTGCGCCAGTTCTCCCACGTGCATGATTTTTGACTTAAAATAATAGTATTTTTTTAAGTTATGTAACAACATAATTAATAGAAACTTAGCATAGAAAATGATATAATATTGTTATTGCTTACGTATATTTCGGAGGTAGACTACTAATTAGAACTCTCTTTTTATCTTGGTAAGTTGTGTGATGTTGACGTGGACGTTATTTCCTACTCCCACGTGATGGCAAATTAAAGTTCTCATTTAGTGAGGATCCCGTATGATTATATGATTAAATGTCATTATGTCGTATTCTGGCGGTAATGAGTCATGAGACTGAAATTGAGAATTATTGAACGAGTTTGAGTATCATTAGGCATCTCATTATTATGTTAATGATTTCTAGAATGCTTGAAAACACGCAACTCTCCTGACCGCGGGTCCCTAGTTAATTGTTACGAGTGCTTTACACCTCATAGTATCCTTATAATAATATTGGAACGTGTACGTTAATTACATTATTTTCTGATGGACCGCACTTGAGTAATACAGTTACTGGAGAACAGCATCATCGGCAAAGAGACGAACACGATCACGGGAATCTGACTATTCAGCACAACCATTGTCAGCCGTTTTATCCGAAACAACTGTGAGTTTACCTGCTTTTTTCAAACTATACAAATATGTCACATACAAGCACAGTAATATATATATAGTGTTAAAAGGTATTTCCAAAAATGAATTGCCGAGCAGCAAGTCTTCTGGGCAGAATTCATTATGTTTACTGACATTTAATGATGACAAACACATAAACAATGATGTGACATATACATGGAAAGATGTTTGGATAGTGCACACATCAGTGTCGCCTAGCATTGACGTACGACACGTATCAAGGCGGTGTTCTCTGGTCTTCCATGCTTATTTAAAGATATGCATGCCATAGTCACCGCACTACTGAAGCAAGTATACCACTTCTCCCAAAGGTGTAACACTCGTCAATCGGTAAGTAATCATTTGAAAACATAACCGTACTTGATGTGTCATTACACTTGACGTATGATGACAATTACTGGTTTATTAGAGATCGGGGAGGCAACTGTCTCCGTGATAAATATAAGTAATAGCTTCACGCAAAATGGCATGAACTATCGAACGTATACTCATTAAATTGCCAGTATTGAATGGCACAATAAACCTCACTCTGTATATCCCACTGAGTGAATTGAAAACTTCCAACTAAGTCTATCATGATTTTTACACGAAATTGATTTAGTAAAGTATTTCGTCCGAATAACACACAGTTGCAGCACACATCCTACAGGTTGCCCGTGACTTATGACATAGCTTACCTAATCTATTGTGAACAGGCGCGTGAGTAAGTATCAGATTGTTAATTTCACGCCGCATTTCATTGGTTGATATTTAGGAAACTATCTTCTAGACCATTAATTCATTTCTCCAGTCACCTGAGAATTGTGTCTTTGTTTCAGTTTGTCCTGACCACTGATGCGTATAATTGATATCTTTTCTCGCTTGAAATATACAACAACAAAAAGAGGAAAATAAATACACAATTAATGTATCAGTTCAGTTTCTTTTCTGTGTGAGACCAAGCGACATAACTTCTTCAACGTACTGACTTATGTGACGACCCATATATTTACTAGGCAGATGGTAATATACAGACCCACAGCTGGATACGATCAGGCAGTAGTATGACGTAAGTTCACGTGATTTTCATATAGCCAGTCACAACATACAGCATGGATAAAAACTTCAATATCACCCGGCTCGTTCTGCTGTGCATTCTCATGGACAAAATCGGCGCGCACGTCCGAATTGGTGTCATTCACGCTCTCACGCAAGACACGTTGTACGTTGATCGTCGGCATAGAAGGTACGTCGTTGATACTGACAAAGGCGGAATTATAATGCACATGGTTCCAATACAGTTGTCATCTGGTAGTCCTTATCAAACTATACAACATTTAAAGAACAAAATATGCCTTCACAATCTTAGCGGTTTGATATACTCCGTCGACGAGCAGAACACACGCCAGTGGGACATTGGTTCGGTATTTCCTGGTTCTTCGTATATTCCAAAGCTTGCCGAGTCCCTGCATATCCCGGCGGTATCCGTGACAGCTCCATTAGTACAAGAGGTACGTAAAATGATGTATGCGTTGTATTATTTATATTAAGAACTTGATTAGAGAACGTACTAGGGTTGTGTGCTCCTCAATACACGTGAGGTAATTGACCCGGATCAGAAATTGCATTTGCTGCATTGAGAAATGTGACATCTACTGTAAATTACTTGAATGGCCTTGCAGCTATAATTTTAGCGAAGTTATATAACTCGAGTAAATACGTCACATATTTGTAATGTAATAATAATGCTAATGCAGAATTGGGGAAGTGAATGATTCATTCCAATATGTTAATTATCTAGTATTATTATAGATTTGTGTGTGTGCCGTTACGTTTGTTTGAACTGTAAAAAAATAACACAGGCACATCCCTATCTTGGGGCATGTACATTACTCCTTACTGATGCAGCTGAGTATGTTCTGATGGAAACCATATGTTCTAAACTATGTATAACATATTTACTCGATTGAATTATGTTATGAGATCAAACAATGTCCGTAAACAAGGTTATATTATTGAGCAAATGGGTTACCCGCTTACATTGAATGCAGACACGTGGCTTGCGATGTTTACAGTATATCTTGTTTGATTTCATGGTAAAGAATTTAGCTACCGGAAAATATACATGACTTGACGAATAATGTGACGGAACTCGATGTAAAACGATAGAATTAATACAGGTGTCATATTATGCGATTGACTCTTTGTAATATTTTTATTGAATTAGGTGTAAATAAATTTGTGACTAATACGTTTGAAAAAAACATGCACCAAGGTAAACGCAACCATATAATTCAAAATATTCAACACTTTTTATTATCGCCTATGTTGTATGACAATTGCAATGGGCCTCACTTTGGCGAGTTTAGTTTATGGATGGAGTTTAAACATATGGAATTGAATTTCCTCGGTTCTGAATAACAGCATAGTGTTCTTAAACAGTTATTAAATGCATGTGCTTTTGCTTTTGGACAAATACATTCATCTTCGAACGTGACACGCATGATATCGTTCATTGTAGCACCCTTGGGTATTTCCAAAACTGTACTCACGCTGTGTGTGGAGGCATTTCAGTATTCAACACATCAATCGGGAAAGCATTTGACGTTTAATCTACCACTTTGTAAATTATATATTACCATAATCCTTTAATCAGTGTTTAAGTCGTTGCCGTTAATGGATTTACATGTACATTACTACACGTTACGAATTTAGATTCAAGAACAAATAAGACATGAATTGGATTTGAGAATATCTCTTTTGGTATTGATTACAATGATAATACAATTTTCTATAATTCTTTTTAATACAACAAATTCACTTGTCTGAGTTGAAAGAAGTATATCTTATCTCTGGAATATCGTTTTACAAAATGAATTGTTTAAATGTTTTACTCTGTTGCCCGTTGTATTACATTATAGCAATTATCATCAAATCCAGTACAGTTGGAAAATACACAAATATATTTAGGACACATGGAGAATATCATATATCATATTCATTAAGATTTATTAAGATTATTACATGGATAAAAAATAAACTTTATTGTAGAGTCATAACATCCTCGAAAATATATCCATTCCAAAGTTGAATGTAATATAAACACAAATTAGAAACTTAAATTTTGAGAACGTACTCACATCCACCTCCTCACCTCCTTTGTATACAGGGTCGCTATTTCAAGTACACCGTTTAACCACGTTTACTGAATTGCTTATATTATTCGTAAATACATGGAGTTAAAGTTCAGTTCTCGGCCTTTATAAATTCTGTGTGAAATTGCCACGAATCTTAGGGAAAATAAACGCGCGTGTGAGGAACAAGTTTAGATTGGAGATTTTGAAAGTGCATCGCGTATATACGCTGCTCCATTACACGAACACAATCATTTTAACTGATTTGTGAATCCATCATTTCAAACCAAGGTGTCACAGAAATGTTTTGTCACAGAAGCATTTTGAGATTGGCTAAATTTAATCAGCTTGCATTGCCCAATCAGATAATTGGAATTTATTGTCATGGATTACATCATATGATATAGTGGGGTGTATTTGTTGGTGATATTTATAATAGAAATTGCCACTTACTTGTATTTTTTACATGATGAAATAGAACTAAAATATATCAGTTGTTTTTAATTCCCGGAAGGCTTACCTGGTAAACGCAGGACCCGGCAAATAGTCTTAACACTTAATAAGTGATTACCTCATATGGTCGAATACGCCCCTGCTACCTGTCTTTCTATCTAAAGTATATGTGGTAAATAAAGATTTAGAATGGGATTATACATATATATTGGTATTCAATCAAAATTGTCATCTAACTCGTATTGCTACCTTAATCATAACGGCCAGCGTTAAATTCGAAGTACTATCTAGCGAGGTTTTGTTTTTTGACACACGTACAAACACAATATTTAGCATTATTGTGAAATTATTCATTTCGTGTTATTTTGTTTTAGTGTCATATTAGTGCAATCAGACTACACACGTAATTGTGATGTCATATATGTACACTGGCAATGCGATGATATCTCCCCCAGGCAGTACTTAAGCAGTATTGTGATATAGTACTTCACTACTGATGGAAACACTTTGGGGCGAGGAAGATAATATTGACTCTAAAACAATACCCTGGGTATACTGTGATTATAATTGAACCATTGTAGGTTTCTCGCCACTGTTTAAAAGCTTTATAAAACGTACACAACTTTACTTTAGTCAACAAAAGTGAAGTCAAGAACGCAATAACATACGATTGACGTCTATCGACAAAACAATTTACAAGAACCAAACGAAACAAATGACGTATACACTATATATGAGACGTCAATACGAGTAAGATATATAGACCATGATGTTTAATAGATCATTTCATTTTTATATTAGCATATTTCGTTTCAACCTTAGTTCATTTCACTCCTATAAGAGGATATTTGATTTCCATATTAGGTAAGTATGATACCCCGTAACATATTTTCACTAATAATATATTCATGTTAAACATTTTTGTAAATTGTAAGTATAACGTTTTGTGATCTTGATTTCCTTGAAATCTGTCAGTTTGGTAGATTTGGTAGGGAACCGTAAGAGCGAGAGCTAATAAAGATTGCCCTTAAATGTAGTGTGAAACCTATAGCCCTAAGAAATTCGTGGAACAAGTAAGATAATATTATCCAACCAATGACGGGCTATGCTTAAAACCAGTGAGATAAGGTACGCCTCCTAAGGGTAACAAAACAAGCTAGTGACGAGTAAGACGTGGGATATGTGTTAAATTAATTAAATGTATTTCCACATTAGTAATTATTTTATTCCTATGTAAGGCCGTTAGATTTTTATATAAGGTCACTACATTCCTATACGTGTATATACCGTTTGTACATTTCACTATTCGTTCACGTATTCTTAATATGTAATTTCTTTTTAAATACTGTTTGCTAGTCGTGGGGCGCGCTGCATACCAATTTTCGATAGTATAATTCCTGCAATTATGAAAAAACATCCCTTCTTAACTCTTTTAAAATCAAGTCACACCTACAATTACAGGATTCTTACTGGTCAAGCCAGTGGAAAATGGGCAATATTTTATGCCCCTGACAAGTGTTAAAATTAGGTGAGTGATGCTTGGAAAGACCGCTTTGGCCCCAAAGCGATTTGAGCTATTTCGGTGGTATTTGATTGATTGTAAAACATTTTTTTTTTTTTTTTGCATTACTGGGTCCACGCATTGTAACTCAAAATAGAGAATGTCTAACGAAGAAGACGGCTATATTTTTTTAACTAAATTTGAATAATTTTACTACTTTTAACCTGTTTCCCAATTTCCGCGAGGTTGGATACTTTTACATGTTCATCTCACCTGCGCCTTTGGAATCACATACGCACATACATAAATATTGAAGAGGAAATAAATTCAAGCTGACGATTTGTATTAAACACAAATCAGCTATTGACAATTACTGGCCTAGAGTGGTTGGAATATGTACTTTATCATATTATTAAATGGAAAGAGAGATTTCCTAGAATGGTTTAAATCAACGGCCGTTCAAAATTTAACTGTGAATCATACACCCGACCGAGCTGGCACGTTTGTGATTTGAGAACGTCATATATAACATGATCAACATCATCTCGGAAAAATACAAAACATATACAGACTCAATTTAAAACACCCTGCACCGGTCTGAGAAACCTCAGATAATAATGATTGATACGAAAATGTACATGTGTGTGTCATTTTTTTTTCAAAGTTAAACTATGTATCACTGCCTAAAATTATGAAAATATTTAGCTGTGACGTCACCCTTCTAGCTCTTGTGGATTCGCCGTCAGTTGACAGGCCCCTATGGGTATACATCTTGTTATCTCGTCGGTATTGCACTTGTTGATATGTACGGAATTTCGAAGCACATAATCGCCATACCGAAGTGATCAATAAATTCTACTTATAGGTAAAGTGAAATTACTCTCTTTCTTCACTAATTCATTACCCATAAAAACCCGTGAAGTGTCGGAATTACTCGCGCTATATGCCATGTTGTTTGCAGTGCCAACGTCAAGATACAAGACCCCCCCCCCTCCTCCCTGTTTTAGGAGAAATAAAGTCGAATGAACTGACATAGGACTCTGTGTACGAATAGTGAAATGCACTCAGATACAAATGCGCACGCAAATAATGGTGCTATAATTGAAACACACTGCCATGCATATAAGTTATTTTCAACAATTGTGTCATTGTGATTAATCAAATTATACGTGTTGTATAACATTGTCGATTATTACATTCAATTTGAGTTTGTAAACAAAAATTAGATTATATATATTCAATATATATCAGAATAGTGCAAACTAACACTTAAAAGAGACATCGAAATAGTCCAACTTACATCAAGAATTCTGGAAGGGCGAATAAACACCGAGTGTTCGTTGCCAAAGAGACACAAAATCATGAGACAAATATATGGAAACTAACTAGCAAATGTGCAATTGTACATGAGAAAATCAGTCACAGAAACACATACGGGACTTAAAGCACTCGACGTACAGAAGTGAGATCAGGTGTCTGGTGACAGAAAATAAGCACATGCAGCTTTACATTCCTCACCCGTCTTATTCAGTCACAGTGATTTTTAAATAAAAACATGTGTGACTTTGATACCTTTTGATATTATCTCAAAGATTTATATTCAGTTTAGAGTCCATTATATTGGCAAAAAATTTGTTGGGAATTTTTGTTGATAAGTACGCCAAAATACGCACAAATTGTGTACAATTTAAATCTCTAAATCAGTAAATGATTTTTTTATAGAAACATGGAGGAACAGATGCACCAGGTATGATATATCTTCTTCCAAAGGGGAGGGACGTTTGTCTTGCAATACTAAACTTTCTTGAATACTTTCACTGGTACCATCTTACTCTGGTTCCCGGACCAAACCACGCTTCTGTGGAATTTGTAGCGGAGATGGCTCTTGCTATTCAGTATCGTGATCATTGGAAGTACAACGTATACGACGTCCTGGATTTTGAAAAAAATATTTCCCATCAAGTGGAGCATATTGCTCTTAGCTCTTCTATCGTCATTTTCCATATGAACCCGATGCAAACGAGAACCGTACTGGCTTCTGCTGCAGAGAACGGCTTACTGAAAAAGGGGTTGGTATGGATCATCAGCGGAGCAGCCCTGGATGAACAACCATTTTCAAACAACACTGGGGTGATTCCAATTGGTCTCATAGGCGTGAGACCAGGCCACATTAGTCATACATCTGCGACGAGGACTCGATTCGCTAAAATGTTATTATCAGAAGCAATTGCCGATTACGTAAACGATGGTAACGACCTGCGTAGTTTAAGCGCTGGACCTTGCGACAAAAACACTAACCGAACCTGGGATAATGTTCTGCAACCGTATTTGAATCGCTCGGTGATTGATATTGCGGACGGATTTGATAAAGACGGGTATCTACTGCATCCTAAATTGGCATTTGTAAACATTGATGATTCCTACAATGTGAAACAGGTAGTTAACGACATTTTTAGCTGGCTTCAGTCAGGGTGCTTAATATGAGGAAACGGGAGTTTCTAAAAAATAAATACATAATTGCAAAATGGTGGTGCACGCGCAAAATCATTCCGACAGAAAAAAATCATTTCTCTCTTACAACCACTGAAATGAAACATATCTAAGTTCTTTGGGGTGTTAATAGAGCAGTGAGTGTCATGACTGGCCATTGACCTCCGTTTTAGACACTGTGCGAGCAATGCCCCGCGGCATTTCGTCAAAAAACGATACGCCAACCCAGAGTAAGGTGCAGTGGCCCAAAGTGTCATGACAACTTTAATTTCGTAGGCTAAAAAGCTAACTAGCAACGCTACCTACATTGCGGCTATAGGTCAGCACAACAACTCCATTTTGAGGTTTAGAAGCGTGACTACAACCATGACTACATCACTGCCACTTCGTTATAGTATGCATCTTATGACTATTTAATAGCAGTCGTTCTCGGAAATTGTGTGTACACCACCAACTCACAACCAAGTCACCAAGTTTAATAAAAAAAAAGTTGCTACTAATTTATATTAAATAAAATTAGCAACCCCTCCTCTACCACAACCACTCGACTGAATCTTCTATACATTGTCTTTTATAGTATTGATAATCATTTACTAGAATGCACCTCTAGAGGGTCTATGAATGCACAGACAACAGCACTCCGGTCAATTGTATTTCATTTTGTGTTACATATTTACAGCCATTGAACATAACGCTATCGAGCAATTTCAGCAATTGTATAAAAGTTGTGTTTATTGAAAAGTTCAGTTTAAAATTACATTTACGTTTGACTAGCTCTTAAATTTGTGTAATGTTCTTTTTGTGAAATACGTATTTGTTGTTTTGATTTGTGTGATCACCTTTAGAACTGCTTTGCTATTATTATGTAACTTATTATTAGGTTGGCACTTGGAAAAAAGGTAAAATAAAACTAAAATCTATAACGTGGATAGGACAGCACAGTAACCGACAAGGTCACCAACCAAGTCCAGTATTAACCCAAAAGCGACTTAGGATAATCACCGTGGAGGAGACTCCATTCGTGAGGGCGCTGTCTCTTGACACTGACGGATGTAATAATGGGATACTCTGCAAAAAAATGAATGGCACATATGGGTATGTACGTAATCCAACTGTTGAGTCTATATATATTTTAAGGTAACACTTTAGAGTGTTTGTATAACCCGCAGTTAAAAGTAAATATCAAAACAGAATATGCATGAATCTGAATCGAAACGTGAACTGTGAGCATCTTCTTCTTTCAAATAGTTTAATTTAAAAACACTGATTTTACTCCGGTTTCAGTAAAAGTGCCTGTCATAAGGTATTATTGTATTGCAGTGATTTTCTTGACCGGTGCTGTGGGGGATTTGCTGTCGATCTACTGAAAGAACTCAGCATGACATTGGACAACATATTCGAGTTTGATTTCTTCGTTGTGAATAGCTACGGTAGGTTTTTAGAGAGCGGTCGTTGGAATGGTGCCGTCGGCGAGTTGGTGTATGGGAAGGCGGATATGATGGTAGGGGGCATGAAAATGTCATCCCAAAGAACCGAAGTATTAGATTTCTCGGTTCCTTTCATGACAAGTGGTGTGTCTGTAATCGTGATGGAATCTAAAGGAAGGACCCCACTACATGCAGTCTATGGTGAGATTTTTATTATCAAAATTGTTCATGGTTAGCAGCATGCTACAACTTTCTAACAGAAAAACATCCACGTCATAGGAAGATTTGTCATATTTTATTTACAAATACGAAATTTACTTTAAGATGATCTTAGAGTGTGTGGTATTTGTAAACGCGGGTGCAATATTTCAATAATGTATTTGGGGGTTCTGGCCGTGTTGGGGTTCTTTACTTGAAACCAGTGTAGACTTGACGGATCGGGTACCACATGGTCATATTTTCTTGTCTCCAAAACAGACCAAGCAGCTGCATTATGCATCCTCTGAAATTACCATATTTACACAAGCTTCTAATTTCTCTTTTCAAAAAAGATCAAATTGAGTCTTGATTGGTTTATTGACTGGACGAGATTATTGTGATAAGTCCGTCAACAATTTAATATCTAGCTACATAGCACCTAATATATAATCGCTTGGTTGTGTTTAATAAAATGCCGATTGTAAAAGAAACAAGAACATTTTAACATTGGCATTTATAACATTCTTATAATTCAACCCCTCTAAAAATCTATGAATGAGAATCCATGTTTTAGGTATGAATCAGATCTGCATCTTTACAAAAATATATTCTTGTAGCATTGTTGATGATAGTGTATGTACGGTTGCATCTAAAAACAACGTTGAGCAAGAAAGACTGATTCATGCAGCTCCACTTAGAGATTTGGTTGTTACGGGGAGATGCTTATAAATCGATCATTACATGACTTGGTCATCATGTGGGCGTTTAACTACCTGACTATATAGAATGTATGTCAGAGATATATATCCTTTCGCCTCTCGGCGGCGATTATTCTTTGATGACTGAGAAGCACGAGACGATACTAATGAGTTTCGGGCCTGATAATTACCCGTTACAGCGGCATCTGTATGGCTTCAATGGGGATGTTATTCACATTAGGAATCGTGTGCTAGTCAGATTGATGGTTACTGCTACTTAATGTAAAACAACTCAATACGAGTGAATGGATTCTCGCTGTCAACCGCTGTAAAATACAACTGTAAACTGTGTTGTTTATAGATTTATAGTTTCGACTTAAAAATACCCTTGAGCCAGTATGGTCTGATTTTAGTAGGATTCGCTACGAGTTATAAGCATTTATGTCAAACCATTCAATAGCTTAATATATTTATCGTTCCTGGTTAAAGTACCGAGCCCGAAGGTATTTCCATTGTCAATAGCATAATTACAATGTGTGTTTGTATTTCAACACATAATGACCAAACGCATGTCTCACATAGTGCTCTAGTTGAGAAGTAAATTTAAATCCGAACACGCATTCTTGCGATTCCAGTTGTCAGTTTAATGTTCGTGTATTTGTATTTTGCATTTCAATTGATTGCTCTGATTATTCTGGTTCAGATCCTTTCCATTTTCTTGTATGGATCATGGCTTGGATAATAGCCCTTGCTGTCACCGCTCTGGCAGTTTTCTTTGTCGAATGGGTTAGTCCAACTGGATATGCAAGGAAGCTTACCGAACCGAGGGGTAAGTAATCTGAATAGTTAATTTTCGAAATTTGAATCAACGATTTACTTGAATATATATATATATATATATATATATATATATATATATATATATATATATATATATATATATATATATATATATATATATATATATATAAACTTCGCAAAACTCTACTAAAATATTGGTTTCACAGCTTCTAGTTTTACCTTTGGTGATTCACTGTGGATGCTTTGGGCGATAAACACCAACAACTCACTGCCAACCAGAGTGCCGAAGAGCGTAACCGGCAAGTTCGTGACTTCCATATGGGCTTTTTATACGCTCGTTTTCGTCGCCCTCTACACGGCAAACTTGACAGCGCACATGATCAAAGTGGAGTCAACCTTACCAATTGATGGTTTTATGGACCCAAAGGTAAAGTAATCCTTAAAGCGGGGGAGTCGTCACGTACGCATGCGTCAGGTGGCCATAGCGGGTCATTGTTTACAAACAAGCGTCTATCCATGAGCCTTTGCGTTCTTAGCGTGTGTTGTTATCATCGCTTGTGACTTAATTCCCGCGCGTGCGCAGATGACAAGCCTCCCGCTTTAACATGACGTCTGTCACTAGTGTATTTGTCAGTTTCACTTGATGTATTATCAGACACGCCCAGAAAACATGACAGACATGCAGCCAACTATAGGACGGATTGATGGCCATCGAAATGGGTACTATTGGTGGTTGTTTTCTTTTTCTGTGTTAATGTTAATTTATTAGTTTTGTTTTGTAGCCTTGATATTTGAAACAGTGGACGCAATGACTGGAGGAAATATGACGCTCTCAACGGTCACTTGATTAGTCATTTTACTCCACTAAAACAGAGCGGTATCGCAACGGAACATTTGAGTTAATGAATATAATTCTACCCACGTGCCTAATCTCATTATTTCGATAGTTACAAAATCCGCACCAGAGCTCACCACGAATCAAGTTTGCAACTGTTCAGTCGACAAATACTGAAAGTCTTATAGAAGATCATAATCCCAGAATGCACCAGTACATGAAGCAATATCTAGTTAAGTCGGCGGCAGAAGGAATAGAAGCATTGAACTCTGGGTAAGATTATAAATTTCAAGCTAGGTATGATAATAAATCTTAACTTGAGTATCAATGTATTGTGTATATAACAAAAATAGACGGGTTATTTTCTATTGTTCCAGGGATCTCGACGTTTTTATCTATGACGCTATGGTGTCCGAGTTTCTGGCCACCCAAGCACACGATTGTAATCTAGTGACTGTTGATAGTGCCTTCGCCATGACTGGCTACGCCATAGCATTCCCCAAGAGCTCGCCGTGGAGGGGGCTAATCGACAGGGCTTTACTCCAGTATGTCGATAACGGTAGGAAACAACGCTTATTTTTTCTCAAATAAATAACTAGTCAAAATGGTACGGCCAAAGTTAGTGGAAAAATTAATAGGTCCGTCCTACGGGTGAGCGTTGTCTGTATCTGTCAGTCAAAGCAATGCACATAATGTATCCTCATTTTCTACTATGTTAATTTTCGAACAAAATTTGTCCGCGTGGCGTAGTTAGCTGTGCGTATTCGTACAGTCGCGATGCGCTTTGCTATGCTGATGTGTTCGGATCTCGCGTGATGCGTATTGGCAATGTGACTGTAATTGTATTCGCCAAAAATCCACGAAGTGTGGTTATTAGTGTCAATATCTCAAATGATAGACCTCGGTAATATTTTTTACGAATAATAAGTCGGATTAAATGCAGGTCATATCACAAACACCATGCCCTTTGACAGTTTGTCAACCTAAACACATCTCAGACAATCAAAACAGTTCAATATCACATGATTACAACTCTTCACGAGGGATTGAGGATACTGGAAAATGTTACCTCTCTACTGGGGCAATGCCTCAACTAATGCACGTCATTCCTAGTGAATACTTACGTCATTCATTAATTACATTTTCTCGTGACAGGATTTCTGAACATTCTCCGTGAAAAATGGATCAGCCTTGATTCGTGCGCCGCCAAGCGAACGAGGCGCAGTGAGGAAGACAACATTCTCGGTAGCAGCCAGGTAGCGGGCGCCTTTCTCTTTCTGGCCGGTGGAATCGCTATCAGCTGGTTTCTAATGTTCTTTGAACTGTTCTTCTATAAGAACTTGAAGACATGGTTTGTATCAGTGTTCCGCCAACAGGAGGCGATCGCCTTAATCAGTGCCGTAAGTGATTTTACTAGTTTTCTGCCGCATAGAGAGGTTTCTTATACTGTAACAAATGTCAATAATTGGTAAGATAGTGCGTCCCACTATTATTTTGAATAAAGCGGCCAATCGTTTGCTTCTGATAATCAACTAACATAAAACAATGTCCTGAGTTGTAAGTAGTATGAAAAATGTGTGTCATCTGACACGCTATGCCCCATTCTAACGCTCAGCAGATTATTGAGATCGTCACAATGTGTCAATCACATATTTCTAGTGGGGTGGCGTATAGCGAGGCATATGTCGTATAGATTCCAAGCCATGCTGTTTTTAAAGGTAAACCATTCATAGCAAATTTTCTTGAGGGCCATGGGCATGATAGGGGAAACCTTACTCTGTTATCATCGTCATATAAAGTTAATTATTATTAATGTATTTCAAAATGTACTACTGCTATTTAATCACGATTTTTAATAATTCATCCACTATAAAAGTGCAATGCAGCACTTCTTCGGTTTTTAATCATGTAGATACGTGAAAGTACACCAGACCTCAGACAATATTCGGCGAATATCCTGATTGTTTTATCACACAATAAACGTCACGGTTGCTATTTTCACGTTACTTTGTGCTCTCTGTTTACATTACGATCGCGAAGCACCGCCAGTGTTTCAAGTGCGAAACTACGCATACCTATAGATATATGTATTCCCATGTTAGAAATACATTAAATATATCAATTGCAACTTACATGAAAGACTGTCAAAACCGGTAACTCATGTGATTGACGTGTGTTATAGAAACTGTATTTACATAGACAAATTGCGGTAAACAATGACCGGTAATTGCTTCTAATTCACAGCGAAGAAAACATCACGTAATGCTCATTGTAGACTTGCTTGCAGTCGGTTGCGAGTCCGATGAAAAATTTATGAAAAATAAATATAAATTGCGTAAACGAGGCGTGAACGCGAAAGTCATGTGCCCGCAAAATCCCAACAGACTTGCCATCAGTGTAAGCGCCCTCACATTACCGGCCAGATTCGGGCTTGTAACATTGTGTCAACACAGGTGGCGTTGGTTTGCGGCGATTTGCGTGTCAGTGGGGCTTGTAATGATTGGCATGTAATATGTTTCAACCAATCAGAAGACAGGCTAATTAACATACCAACTGGGACTCCGAAAACCATACACACTTTCTTGGATAATCCATGGAGGTAGAAAAGCTTTTCTACCTCCATGGATAAACTTAGATCCCGAAAACTTTACCTACTTTCTCATATCCGAATCACATATGTCATTTTATTCTAGATTGAATTTCAAAAAAACGTGCAATGTTATCAGGAGAATGTCTGGAGCGAGCCTTAAAAGTATTAGGATACCAAAGCCTTCGTGGATATCATCGAGAGGTCGTGGAGGTCTACTCAGATGGCCGAGACGTATTCGTGTCTGCTCCTACAGGCAGCGAAAAGTCACTGACTTTTGAAATGGTTCCGTTTTTGTATCGACTACAGGCGATGTGCACTTGGTCGCTACTTCCGGTCGCCTGTTCGAAAATAGCTTTTCGTTTCAGTCACCTGGTTTCTTCGCTATTTATAAGACTTCTGGGGGTTTCCACTTGCCCCTTCGCTTTGATTCGTTTCATGATACAACTTTTTCAAATTGTCGATTTTATTTTGCGATAGCTGTCACTTTTCTTGAACAACTTCGCCAGGCGTCCTTTGTCTGCAACAGCGGATCAAGAATCTCGCCAATAACCGTGACGACTTCAATCTCCTGGCAAGCAAGGGTCTTCTTGCTGGCTTTAAGCAATTTTCGCCTGTCGTCTGCCTTTACTATGTCAAGACCGCACACAATATAGAAAGGATGGATGTTTTACACAATTTTGTTGGCGTCAACAACGTGGTAACATAGCGCCAGACATGTAAACACATGCACGTGAGATGTCCGGTTTATTGTTATGATCCGTGACTCGGCTGCTCCACCCACCGTAAGACGTATATGCAAATTAACAAGCCCGAATCTGGCCGGTAATGTGAGGGCGCTTACACTGATGGCAACTTGAAACCAGTTGGGATTTCGCGGTCACATGCCTTTCGCGTTCACGCCTCGTTTACGCAATTTATATTTATTTTTCATAAATTTTTCATCGGAATCGCAACAGACTGCAAGCAAGTCTATGCTCATATAAAACATGAGATAAGAACAGCGCGGTCAATAGAGCGAAACCGGAAGCGTGTCGTTTCGTTCAGGCTGGGCCGTACTCGATAGGGTGTCACCCAACAGCTAGATAAATAAATTCCAGTTAATTAAAAAAAAAAACATTCTAATTGAAATGTCGATTATTCCCATCGGTTTATCGATAACACGTAGTGAAATGTTCGGTTTTATTAATTTTTTTTATTAATATGTGCATATCATCTTTCGGTAAAATTCCGGGGTATTTTATTTGAAATAAAAGACTCCGCAATAACTATTATTGCGTTATACTAAAGCAAAAATAGGGATATGCACAAATAATTGTCACGACATGAACTACAATTTAAACGAACACTTGTGTCTGTAAACATTTGTGTCTGTCCAGCCGATGAGAAATTCACTCCCTAACCTGCTTATATGCACGGGTACATGTTGCTCTTCATGTGCATTTCATAGTACGTTGCTTTAACTATTATATATATATATATATATATTAATCTCTAATTTTCATACTGATATGTTATTATTTTGCAGACGTTTACCAAAA